TATATAACTATTTATTCAATAAATCAAAACTAAATTAATATTGAAATCTAAAGTAATTTGTTAGTAAAGAACCTTTCGTTCTCGCTATCAAACAAAAGTAAATCTTAATTTATATTCGTTCGGAAATCAAAACTAAATAATTATCAAATAAATTATAGTAGCATCTGCTCGCATTCAAAACCCATTAGCACACACCAGAGACAAAAAGTTTATATCGATTTCGAACTCAAACTGACTTGAATTTGATGTATTCGGTATTCAAAATATCCATAATATTATATTCTCTTATATAAAAATTATACATATGTAAATATTTATAATTTATAATACATAAGTTTAGTTTTGGCAGTATGTTGAGATTTTTGCCTGTCAAAAAACAATCACGTGAAAAAAAAACCTTCATTTAAGAGTTCTGTCAAAATTTTGAGAGCTTTCAAACTCAAAATCAAAAGTTTTTTTTTTTATTTAGCTGTCAAAAAGATTCTGCTTCTTCTGAAATTCTGTTTCTGAAAACTATATAATTATTATAGTTAATTAATCGATTTCTTTGGATTAACATAATATATAAGGATGTTACTTTTAATAGTACACATTTACAAAGTTATTTTTTTATTTAGCTATATAGAATTTTGAATTTTTACCGTCGATCAATTGTTTATTGTAAATAAAAAGTAGGTTGGAAACTAATTATATTATTACAAATTCTAAGATCTACAAAAATAATCGAAGTTAACATAAACAAACCAAGAAATAAATGGATATTTAATTGAAATTTTTCATATGTCTCAATCAAATCTTCTTGACATTTGACGTTCTTAAAACAAAGGATTACTTTTAAGCCTCGTGTTGAAAGTATTTGTGTCAAAGGTTCACGAAAACATTGTGTAATTTTCTGTGAAGTAACAGATAGTCATAAACCTATTAAACTAGTTTCATTCGTATAAATTAATGTAAAAATTCCAGTGGTAATCCATAAAAGTTCTTCCACATTGAATTTTTTATCATAAATTTTTTTTCAGTCGCGTGAACAAAATCGCAAAATTAAGTTCAGTGTGTAATGCCTTTTGTTGTTATAAATTTATTTCATTTAATCAGCTATTTAAAACTCTTGAAATATATTTATACTAGAATTTAATTCTAGATATCTTTTTTATATTCACTAAAATTTATTTTTTTATTAGTCTTAGTGAAAATTAAACATTTTATATAATGTTACCAGTACTAAATTAAACTATAAAATTATGATTCTCCCGTCATTGTGAATACGGACTTATCAATGATAGTGGAAAATACCCTATAATATTTATAACAAGAAACGTCGAAGCTTAGCCCCGGCTTAGTTGTTCAAAACATATTGACTTAAACATGTCAAACAAACGCTATAATTTACATCAAAATGACTGGAGCAATAAAAACTCTTTTGAAACACAATATAACATTTTATCTTCATTAATACTCTGTTTTTTAGCAAAATTTAAAAACTTATTTATCGAAATCTCTCAGTTTGACCGTAAATTAATTTAAGTCTTGTGATTTTTTTTAAATCCTATGTGCAATCAGCATTTGCTTGATTAGACCAATTTTATATTTAGAAAACTTTAAAAGAGTTTTGATTTAAAAAGGTTTTATATCATGGTATTTAAAATTAAACTGATAAAATAAGAACTGGCATAAAATTTATACTTTTTGAAATTAAAAAAAAACTTTTTTAAAAATCATTCACTGACGTTACTCACATCTATTCATGGCACACCAAATTAACAGAATTCATTTGAATTGGTTTAAATTTAATGCGTACCATATAATATGTATGACAAGCTTTTCCTTGATATGTTCTCTTAGAAGTAACAGTAATTTTGGTATTTCCCCATCCAAATAACATTGTTTTTCATAAATAATAATTACATTTCAAAGAAATCACAAACTTTTTTTACTAAACCTAAATATTTTGTACCAAATATTAAGTAAATAATCTTTGGTCAGTTTTCCATTGAAATAAAAATGATTTTGGATTCACAAATATACAAAAATGTATATAATAAGACCTATACACACTTTTATACAGACATAACATAACATATGGTATTGTTATGTATGTAACACTTATATATACTAGTTTTCGCCCGCAACTTCGTCTGCGTTAGTTTCAGGATTAGAAATATATAGCTGATATAATATCTTCTTCTTCCTGGCAATTTCCCAGGTTTAGCCATGGTCTGCCTATCTGCTTAGCTGATTTAATATACATATGTATATCCCTACTAATATTATAAACGCGAAAGTAACTCTGTCTGTCTATTACGCTTACACATCTAAACCACTAAACTGATTTTAATGAGATTTGGTACAGACAGAGAGTTGACCTTGAGGAAGAACATAGGATAGTTTTTATCACAGTCTTTTGAAAGGTTCTCTTGGAAACGCGATATAACCGAACTCAAGTCGAAAGCTAGTATTGTATAATTTAATATAACTGAATTAACGAAGCCATTAGTAAAGCGATCACGGCTGTCGTATGCGTATTGTGAGTTATTGATACGCCACAAATGTCACACGCAGAACAATCTGAACCAATCAAGCATTGGAAGCGTATAATAATCTAATTATTAAACTAATTACATACTATTGTTTTACATTAACACGTTTAATATGTTATTATGTTGTACTTATATATACAACTAGTTGTTGACTTCGTCTGCTTTAGTATATAGGTGTATAAATGTATAGCTGACTGGACAAACTCTATTCCTCCTTTAAGACAATAGATAAATTTTTGGATTTGATCGACTTATTTCTTTCTTTTTTATCGGATCAAAAGAATCTTATATTTTATCACTTCTAAGTATTTCTCCACCAATTTCCAGCCAAACCCGTACAGCAGTTTTTGCGTTATATGACTAAAACTTGAGTAATCTAACTAAACTTGTCATATATCTAGTATATGATAAGTTTGGTTAGATTATCTCAGAATTATTTTAAATTTTATTCATACTTTAAGTTTTAACATCGTTTTAATACTCTGGATCGAAAATGTTAGACTTATTATATTGACACCACATAGTATTATTCAACTAGAATATACAGGGTGACTGGTGAATTACTATCGATACTTGAGGACGTGATATTTGACGATCATATATGACAAAATAAAAATTAATATAACATAAATGTTAATAAACTTCTAAGTAAAGTTAACCAAAAGTTATGTAATTAATTACGCATCGTGTGAACACCCTACAGATTAGGTATACACACACACACACACGCGTGCGGCGGCGTGGTGTTGTATCAGCACGCCGCCGCACGCGTCCACACTTGGAACACTTGGAACGTGTCCACACTTTATTTATTTATACGGAAATTTGATAAAAAATTAAGTACCTATTTTTTTTACATAATTCGAATGAGAATCATGTACTGAGTATTCTCCTTAAATATTGATAGTAATTCACCAGTCACCCTGTATATCATTCAAAAAATTGTAATGAATTAATAAAACTCACATTTTTTTGTTATTACGAGTAATTTAAAAAAAAAAAACAAATATCATGATATAAAAAGGTTTTCTATGCGATTATCTATATAAAAGCAGGACATGGTTAGGAAAAAAGATAAATATAATTAAAGGAAAATATATAATGATGTACAAAAATATAACTCAATATTTACCCGCTATTGTTCATAATTTCGTAAAACAGTAACCTTAATAAGAAATATGAATGGTATTTTTAATCTATATTTTCTATAAAAAACAGTTATAATATTATTTTTATAATCTGTTTGTACGATTGCAATTTCTGTAATAGTTTGAGTCTAATAATATAAGAGGATATTATTTCATTTAAATGAAACTAACATTCTTCCGATATACTACGCAGTTTATTTATCCGAAAGATATTAGTTTCATTTAAATGAATGAAACTGAAAGTCTTCGATCTCATTATAAGAGGATACAACATATATATGTATATTCCCAAAGATGGTTGATGTCAGGCAGTCGGCCGGTCGTAAAAACAATTAGCCAAAACTATTCACAACATGTAAGGCAGACCCTGGCTAATTCTGGAAAATTGCCAGGAAGAAGAAGACAACATATATATGTATATGAGAACAATTTGACATTTAATACGATATATTTCAATTTAAAAGCCCCATCCGTCGCACTCTTCATACATTTATCAAACAATGATTCACAATTTTCAAGAACGCTGTTTGGGTCAATGTCAGACATAATCAGTGTTTCAGGAAACCAGAATTCCCACGGTGATTGAGGAAAAATATTCATTGATAGTGACGAATGAATTAATTAAAATAATTATACAAGAATACAACGTGGTTGTTCCTGCTATTTCCTTCACAAGTCGATGTAAAATCACTATGTCACGTTATTATGTTTCAAACGAAATCGAATCTAATTATATTGTTATACTTACATATATATATGTTTTTTTTTCTTACTTTCTTTTAGACTCTTTTCAAAATAAACCCTTCATATAAGTTAATCATTCTAATTTCTTTTATAAGTAACATTTCTATAACAAAAGCTCTTATTTTTGTAAATTTTTTAAATCAAAAAAATAATTGCAGATTAATAAACAAGAGACAATTATATTATATAACACAAGTCAACAAAAAAAAAAAATTTTTTTGGGTTTGTTATTAAATTAATATTTTCTGATTTTTTACAACTAAAAGTAACCAGAAACTTCGTTCATTGCAAATAAAGTTTGCTTTTGTACAATTTACGATGAAAAATAAATATTTTAATATTTTGGCAGACAGTTTGAGGTGCAAGGGTTTTAACACGCTAGAGACGGAGTTGGTGGGGGGTTACAGGTGTGAAGCGGGGACCGGCAGGTAGTCTCGGTAGTATGCGCGTGAGCATTACCAAGAAACGACGTTATTTGTGTGGCGCGAAATCTAAAATGGCTTCCAAAAAGTGTAAAAATGACGTTAACTCTTTTTGTTATATTTGCGGCGAATTCATTAAAGTAAGAGCTATGAAATTCAGTTTGTCGTCAAATGTAAAACTCTGTGAAGCTTATGAAGCTTATTTTAATCTTCCCATTCGAAGTCAAGATAAAATATGGGCACCTAAATTCTCATGTAGTTACTGCAAAAACACATTAGAAGGTAAGAGAGTACATCATAACTTTCAAGGATACTAATCGCAAGAAAAGTACGATATGTTATAACCTGTGTGTATATGTATATACGTTTATATGTATGTTATTTTTTTTCAGCTTGGTATCGAGGAGAAAAAAAAAGTATGAAGTTTGCAGTACCAAGAATATGGAGGGAGCCCACTAATCACATCAGTGATTGCTACTTTTGTCTTGTCAATCCACGTAAGCGTCGGGCTGGCAAAAATGCCAAAAAGATTCAGTACCCAGAATTGCCATCAACAACCGCTCCGGTACCCCACAGTGAACATTTTCCTGTGCCTTCTCGTTCCAATTTGAAGGAAGAGCTCCCGCTATCACAAGATTGTAGTAGTAGCGAAGGCAGCGAATTCTTAATCAAATCAGTGTCTGTTGAACCACATCTTATTAATTCAGAAGAGTTTAATGATTTAGTAAGAGACTTAAACCTACCTAAAATTAAAGCAGAAATATTAGCTTCACGGCTAAAACAGTGGAATTTGCTCAAGCAGGATGTTAATATAAGTGATCAAAGAAAGCGTCATGAAATATTTTCTGGATTTTTTACAAAGAAAGACGGACTGTGTTATTGCAATGACGTGAAAGGTTTATTTGATGCGATCGGAATCCCTTGTGTTTCTTCTGAGTGGCGTCTTTTCATCGACAGCTCTACAAAAAGTTTAAAAGCAGTCCTCCTTCACAATGGAAATAAATTTCCATCACTACCTTTGGCTCATTCTGCAATGCTCAAAGAAAATTACGAAAGCGTTAAAATGGTGCTTCAAACTTTAAAGTATGAAGAGTATGCTTGGCCAGTTATAGGGGATTTCAAGATGGTAGGTTTTCTGGTGGGTATGCAAGGCGGATACACTAAATATCCATGCTATCTTTGCTTATGGGACAGTAGAGCTGACACACTTCACTACAAGCAGCAGTTATGGCCAGAACGGATCGAGTTCCAGATAGGAAAACATAATGTCAAGAATGAACCGATTGTGAAGGCCGATCATATTTTGATGCCTCCATTGCATATTAAATTAGGCCTCATGAAGCAATTTGTGAAGGCTCTTCGTCAAGATTCTCCAGCTTTTGAATACTTAAAGAGTTTTTTCCCTAAACTTTCAGAGGCTAAAGTTAAAGCTGGTATTTTCGTCGGTCCACAAATTAAGAAAATAATGGCCAGTGAAAAATTCCCAGAGCTACTGAACGCTCACGAAAAACAAGCGTGGCTCAGCCTTAAAGCAGTGATCCATGGCTTTCTTGGCAATAAAAAAGCTGCAAATTATAAAGAGCTCATTTCTAATATGCTTGAGAATTTCAAACTCATGGGATGCAGAATGTCCCTTAAAGTACATATGCTACATGCTCACTTAGACCAGTTTAAAGATAACTTAGGGGCATACTCAGAAGAGCAAGGAGAACGCTTTCACCAAGATATGATAAACTTTGAACAACGTTATCAAGGACAATATAATGAGAATATGATGGGTGACTACATTTGGAGTCTAATACGAGAAGGTTCCTACTCACACAGAAGAAAAACAAAAAATATTCATTTCTAAAGTTTCTTACTGATTCTTTTTATGTATTTGGAGATTTATCTTTATTGTTCTTTGTAAATAAAGGTGATTAACATATAAATTAAAGTTCTTTTTCTTGCCTTTGTATTCTACTGAATTAAAAAAATAAGATTTTCTTAAAATTAGAAATTGCGTTCTGGTTGCTACAAAAGCAAACTTTATCAAATAAAAGTATTTTTTTATTGTTAAGTTAGACATTATTAATCTAAATCAGCACCACAGAACTCAGACTCAAAAATCGTGTTTACTTGTGTAATCATTATAATATTCTTTGAATATTGAAAACTAGTAAAAACTCCAATCAGTACCAATTTTATTTTTCTTATAACAAACTGTTTCTTTAATATATTCGTCCTACAGTTATTAATACAAAACTTATATTGAAATAGAAAAATTATGATGAATACTTCTTACTAGTTCCATTCAATAGGTATAAATATTGTACTCATTATGAAATGAGGTTGTATATAATTGTTTTTTGTAATAAATTGCTGGCCATCAACAAAGTTAAGCAACATGCTTTTAAAAATAATGGCTCAAATACATTTGTTCCTATAAGCTAATGGCACTGACAATATAGAAACCTTAGTGATTTCTAATTGCGTGTTTTTCAATTTGAATTATTTGTTTACGCTTGAGGCGTTTACAAAATATTTTGTTCATATTAATTGCTACGAACGTAACAAATATTTTCTATCAATCATTTGAATATAAAAATTTAATTAAAAGCATAAAGAATTTATAATCAAATCTTGTTTTTCGTCGGAAGTGAAATAAAAATTATTTTTTAATACAAATTTTAAGAAGTAATTCTATTTTTATTGGAGTATTTTTTGTTCTATAAATAGCTTGATATTTTTGTGATAAAATATCATGTTTTTAATTAATCTCACTTCTACATAATATTACTATTTTTTTTACATCCTTAATAGAATCACTGTAGTGAATTATTTTATTCCTTTTTATGAGTACATAACATATAAATTTTATTTATGTTTTACGGGATTCATATTAAGTATTCCGTAAATTATTCGTATGTGATATTTTACCAACTAACTTAGAAATGTTTAGTAGGAAACTGAGTATCTATTCCTACACATCCATAATACAAGAAAAGTAAAAATAAAACGAATTCGGTTAACAATAGATTCACAGAAAACACAAAGGAAAGAGATGAGCTGAGGCTATTTTGAAATTTAATATAAAATTAAAATAAATACAACAGTACAATGAGTTAATTCGTCAATAATGCCTGCTACACACGACGGTCTACCGGAGAGGTCAACCTATGGGTAGACCGGAATGTGTGTGGGAGTAAACCTGTGCAGTTTTTTGAACGCTACCAAACAATGGTTGACCTGCACAGGCATACCTCTCCGGTAGACCGTAGCGTGTGTGGCCGGCTTAATGTGTGACGTTAAAGTTCTTTATATAGATAGTAACGGGACAGACGTATCAACAGTGCGAATACCGTTCTAATAATATAATAGGTCCGTGCCAAATGTATCAAAGCCCTTGTCTTGTACTGAGATCTCACTATCATACAGATTCGTCATGTAATATTTCGTTGCACAGTTTTTTTTGCTGACCGTACATACTCGTTTTTATTTCTTAATAAATTTAATCAAATATGGATAGCATATAGAAAGGAAATGTGGACTGTTGAGTGATATATGTTGTGCATGTTTACAGAAAATAGAGTTGTAAAAAATTATATATTTTCATTGGATCATAACTTCGTTTATATGAAATATTATTGACTACTGACTACTGATGCAAAATGGAGAGTATGTATGTGTGTGTGTGTCCATGTAGGTGATTGAATATGTGTGTGTACATGTATGTGTTTGTGTATGTGTGAGTCTATCTGTGAATTGTATCGTAACTCTCAAAGGGATGAACTGATTTTGATTCAGTTTTGAAAACTTTTCAAACCAGTTTCCTTTTGGTGGTTCTTCATATATTCTTCCAGACGTAACAGTATTAGTCCCTTTCCAAAATGATGTAAATTCATTTTTATCAAATGATTACTCGATGGAATGCTTCGCACTTGCAGTATAATCATTAAATGACAATTAATCAATGTTTTTGTAAATATATAAAATTTAGTTACTAATTACTTAAGAATCCCACGAATTTAAGTAATATATCTTATTTACTAAAAATATGAGTCACTTTTTAAAGTTATTAAAGAAATTTTAACAAATTAGTCGTCAATGTAAAATTATTTATTTCCGTCACATATTTGATTTAGTGATATGGAATCATTTACTCAACATCTTTAATGCCTTTAACCTACAAACAAATTTTAATTTTTGTTTTATTTTTTACATTCGGTGTTTACTATATATTAATGAAAGTTTTGGATTCCTGACAATTAATAGACAAAATTATGCGAGAAAGACTTAATCTTACCATAAAATAAATATTCATATAGTTTTAAATAAACAATAATTTATTAGATATTTTATGATTTCCGTTTCACTAAACATTAAAAAAACATTAGTTTTATCTTCTTAAATATTTCGAAAAACAAATTTTCGCATACACATACAGACGGTCAACGACATTCAGTAGCCACAATAAAGTCAAATCAGTAACTAACGCTACTGACCCAATAACGGAAATCATGTTCATTGCTGTTTTTAAATACAAATAAAAGTTATTGGTATGGCAGCCACATTAACTGTACTATAAAATTGATTTACGCTCGCCCTACCCTATATATCAATTACTCTTTCATCTTATTTTATTGATGTCGAAATGGACTGGATTAAAATATAATTATATAGTTTATTTACATACAAAAAAAACTAATATAATGATCTTTATAACTATGTTACTACTTAAAACTTTATTTTCCAATTATTGTAAAGAGATTAAATGAAGGTAAAGAATGTTCATATTATTTAATATTCAATTAAAAGTATTTTTCTTGACTAATAACCAAAAAGTTTTTATAACATGATAAAAAAAGTTGGGTCCCTATGGTGAGTTTTATCTATTTTTTTCGCATGACACTTCAAAAACTCCCCAAAGAAAGATAATAACAGTATAAAAAAGGTCTCTATGGTTATAAATAAAAATAAACGATTGGAAAACGTGCATAAATAAAAAATAGATCAAGAGCAAAAAAAAAAACTCTAAAATATTTTTCCAAAAGTAGTCACTTAAGAAAAAAAAAATTTAACTATTCAAAAAAATGCTTTATTAGACTTTAATCTAGATCATCGTGTATATAAACATTTTTTTTATAAAAAAATCTATAATATTTTTAGTACGTATCTGCTTATATGTTATAGAAATTATTATTGTAAAAGGACATACGACCATCATCATCGAATCTACAACCTTCGGAATAACAGGTTACAGTCGCTTCAAAACTTAAGCTATCGTGTCCAAACGGAATCAGTCAATTAATCTTTGCGTATTTTTTTCTACCTGACAATTTCCAGCTTTACCCAGGGTCTGCCTTACATGTTGTGAATAGTTTTGGCTAATTGTTTTTATGACCGGCCGCCTGCCTGACATCAACCCTCTTTTGGGATACATTAATCAGTGATGTCTAAATACTCTTAGAAAGTACATATGACTCGGAAAAATCACTTTGAATTAATCTTTGCGTATATACATATATAACCACCATAGAAATTAACATCTACAACATCCCTTATGTTTCAGATAACCATAGGCGACTGTCACTCCCCTCAATCAGGTAGGCCGTCTGCTTGTTTTAACCTTGGGGACATAAAAAAAATTAAGAATAAAGTTACAAACATTTAAAAATATCCCCAAAACGAGGTAGTAA